AGCCGAGACTCTATACTGCCGATTTGCACCATTTTTGAAAAGTGGGCGGGGCTTCTTCAAAGTGGGCGGAGCCTCTCACAGTGGGCGGGCTTCACGTAGCAGTCCAAAAATGCAAAAACTTTGGAGAAATATCAAAATTCCGCGCGTGGTCAAGGAGCGGAGCTTAGATTGCCAAACTCTAGAGAATGGGCGGAGTCGGCCATGTGTCAATGCCCAGTCGTTTCAGTCAAAGTGTTTGTGGGAAACAGCAAAAGATAAGAAAAGTCACATAAGCAGAAGTTATGAAACAAGATTTGAAAATCTATGCCCGCGCTGACAAGTAGGCGTGGCCGTCGGGGCGGGGCTCGCAGTGGTGTCTGCGTGATCTGGTTGATGAGTTGCCCGGCCTAATAAGTGTGTTAATTTGATTTGGAAAGTGATGGTGAATTTGATTTGAAAAGGGGTGAATTTGGTTTGAAAAGGGGTGAATTTGGTTTGAAAAGGGTGAATTTCAAAGTGAAAATGGTATATATGCCAGCGGTCCTGTTTATGGACAAAGGTCCGCGTTGCGCTCATTCATTGGGGGATCGTCCTGTAGTCTCTCTCGCCCTTCACCTTGTCTTCTGTTCTCTCATCTTTTCCTTCGTTTTTCGCCTGCGCAGCAGTGTCTCGCTTCCTGTATTAGCCGGGCAAACATGGGGGTTCAATCAGGACGTCTTTAATCAATAAGGCACGTCCTGAATAATGCACGTCTCGACCCTTGGAATACTTACCCTCTTCCCCGCACATTCCCGCTACCTTCGCCAAATCTTCTACAAATTTTGGACCTCCAGAGATCCCTCCACTTTTTGCGCTATGGGACGTATACTTGTTCGTCCGGGCTTGTGGCCTCGCCCGTAAACGGCTCAGCACGTCAAAATGGAAGGCTCAGACGCGTGCGCTATTTCCATGTTTCCCTTGGGCAGCTGGCAGCCGTCACCCGACTATGATTACAGCTTTGAAACTCCCTCATCAGATACCTGGGTAAGAACCACTAGAACTTCTCGGCTGGTGCTGGAAGCTCTCTTGAACTCTTTTTATTTCTATCACTTCGAGGAGTCCCTCCAAACTCAGATTCTTCCATCCAACGGGCCCACTTGAAAGTTCTCTCCAAGAACAAAGCCAATCAAATCAAAAGTAGTGGCGAAATATTCACAACTTGTCTTTCACGAAAGCTCACAATAGGCGTTGTCGCGTTGCAGCGGCGTCGCGGCAACGCCTACTATGGACCGTTCCGTATGCGAGAACGCAACTTCGCAACACCGGCGCGGGAAAGCATGGCACGATATCGATTAGATTAAGGTATTCACATGAGTTTCTTGATCTCGTATGCAAATCGCATCGATTTCGCCGCTAGATGATTATCACTGTTCGAGCTGAAAGGACAGTGTTAGAAGTGAGTGGAAAACCGTCTAGTCGAGACAACACTATAGGATAGCGTCGCGAAAGTTGTGCGAGTGAAATGGGCGGAGTTTGTCCACGAGGGGCGGCGCCGTCCATATGCTGGTGTCTCGAAGGAAAATACTGGAAAAACACAGCTAACAAAACAGAAAACGACATAGTAATCGATCTCTAGTATTTCTCAAATCAAAAATAAGTAATTTAGCAAGTAAGAAAGTCAGTCAGCACACGTTCGCTTTGAAGCAGCCCGACAAACCTCACGCGACGCACGCGCGATTTCTCCGCCTACCTTTGCTCGTTCAGCAATCGAAGTTGTACTTGAGATCCGTGCAATGGAACGGTCGGCGGATCAGGAACGTGCCGCGAAGCCACTGAAACGAGGAGTTCTTGGACTAAAATCGTACAAACACGGACAGCACCACTGCACGACCAGTTGAGAGTGGAAACCGAATAGGGAACAAGTTGAGAGGTGAGGATAAGGGCTTTTGTGCATTCCACATTGGTGTGAAAAAGAACGCTGCTATGTGGATGGTAAAATGACCCACAAAATAATCTGTAGAAGGGCTGATATACTTTTCATGAGAATCGTACTTGTCACTGTTACTGCACGAAGTGGCACGCACACACACACCACTGTTGCCTCCATACTCAGCCAATTCCTAGCCGCCGCCGACAATTTCTGGGGTGGAAAAAAGTAAGGTAGAAAATTGTATCCACATGCGCGTTCTACCTTGGGAGGTCTCAGTATAGGGTACAGCGTCGTGGTGTGTGGAATGGCGATGTCATTACACCTCTCCCCCCTTACCCATCCTACCTACCATAACCATAGAATTTTTCGGCATAATACTTTTTCTACCATTTTTCCCTGTTTCGCAGGAACTTTTCCAGTCCTTCCCCCCCCTCCCTCTCTGACGAACGGGTGTGAGACTGTCACGATTTCGCGGACTCCAACGTTGTGTACAGCACGCATAAAACGGGAAACGTCGTGAGAAGCCAACAACCTAAGAAACACTCATCGCCTTGAGAAAGTTCCTTTCAAGGCTAGGTACGACCGCCCACTCCCCAGCACCCCGGTACGACCATGGTATTCTTTCAGGACGCTGTACCCTGCATCAAAAGCTGGCTAAGCCACGTCATGTCTGAACGCCTGCCTCCTCTCACCGAGATGGCGTTCTCCCACATTGCAGACGCGTCGCGCAAAAAACAGCATGTATTCACGCAGACACCATCACTCGACGGACAGTCGCGCCACGATGGTATGGAGCGGGCGGGTTAGTGCCAAAATCATTGGAAGAAGCGTCTTAATGGGTTGATGTGACCAGAGGCCCTTCGCCCTTGCTTTCCACAATGACGTGGCCAGTAACTGCCCGGCCCCCTACAATCATGGCCACTCCCACAGGCTGCGAGGGGGGGGGGGGTTATTCAAAAGTTTCCGTGGACATTCCAGCTTGGTGCGAATCGAGGGTATAGACTGGAAGCGGCATTCATGCGGCTTCGAAGGTACTACTGCCGAATCGCCCGTCGGAGGAAGACGTGCACCCATCCGGGATCGTCCAAGGGGGACTTTTCAGTATTACTGTAGCTAAATATTTCTTAGCTGGTTCGAAATACCTCCGCACTGTGTCATTAAATCCTGATGCGAATGTCGCGCGTGTGATGAAATTTGCAGTTCTTGGCATATGACTGGCAATGAGACAGCATTGATATAAAGGAGATGACGACGGTCAGAGCAATGTGTACGAGGTAGAGCTCAACCGCAGTCGATACGTATGTCCTTGTATGTGTAGCTGGCGGCAAGTTCGCTGAGTATAGACACAACCTAAGGACTCTTCAGAGAACAGCTAATGTCTTTAGTCACTCTCAAAATCAACCACACGTGGTGTGAGAAAACGTGGACGGCTCATTACCGTCATTCTGGTTGAATAACGCATCAAAACCTGAGCAATCTGCAACGTAAAAGAATCACGTCAATTTCTCCACTGTAGAAGGCCGATCGATAATCGATCGATAAGTGAAAGATCTTACCACGTAAGGCGCTCGGCTTGGTTCGTGCGACGGAACAAAGCCACTGAAACGGAGGATTTCGTTTTCATTGGCTCACGGTGAGAAGAAAGAAACCCAAGACCGTTAGAACTCACGATTTTTGCACTTGCACTTTTTGATAAGCGTCACATCACGAATATCTTCATGGCACTGTTTGCACCAGAAAAATGCGCTGAAAATTGAGGTTGTACATCAGTAAAAAGGAAAAATGGGTTGGCATCGATTGGGACAGGTGACCAGAGTTGTTAGCGCATTGTCAAGTGGATGCTATGAGAAAAAATATTTAAAATTCTATGAAAGAAAGATCCAAAAGTAATTGGAGTGGTGGGGCTGATGCCATTTGGACGCGCTCAGTTTTGGCTGCTTGCTCATTTATGAAGTGCCTAGATCAACAAATCTGTAGAAAACTTGTATAGAGGAGTAATTTAACATCCTGATTACTAATATGAAAATCATTCTCGGCGCTGGCGCTAATGGAGTACACTACGATTATCTTCTGGGTTCAGCCTTAGCAGAGCGCAGATAATCGTAGTGTCCTCCATTAGCGCCAGCGCCAAGAATGAATGTCATGGTCGTAATCAGGATTCAAATAGCCCTGTGTACAAATTTTCAGCGGATTTGGTGGTCTACGGACCTGAGCCAGCAGCCAAAACTGAGCGCGTCCAAACGGGATCAGCCGAGTGGGCGGGAAGGTGGGGAGGGGGGGGGGGGGCGGCTACTATGTATGTCATGTCATGTCTTCTAGTCTATGCTCTTTACTGAGGTTGTGCTTGAAAGAGTTTTGAAGTGATTCCAGGCACAGTGCGCCTGAAACTGATAACGACTGCTAGGCTCCTATTGAGCCCCATCCCAGAATATCGGTGAGAGAGAGGGTAGACAAGAAGAATTGACGTGACATGACTACGGGTGCTATGTAGTTCAGCGCGATTCTCACCGTGGTGATGTGTCTGTGCCTGCTATTCTAGACTCGGTAGGGTAGTACGGGTTCTGGGCTGTGTGCGTTCTGCTAGGTATGAGCCTTGGACCAAGCATGCCCACATGTGCGAGCACGATCGGGG